GCACATTCCCCACTCTTCATTCGAAACAAAGGTTATGGACGACCCGCTTCAAATCCGGTACTTCGTCCTGGTGTCCGTGTCATCGTGTGATGATTTGCGCACGCATATGCGGCTGCGGTATCAACATGGGGTAATCACCGTGATGTGGTACCCGGTGTGTCATCGTGAAGTCAACCCGAATTCCACGATATAGTAGGGTGTAAAGCCATGGTGTCCTACACCGGTCTTCACACGGTGCACCTCGTAAATTGGCGATTAGTTCAGCAGGCAGTATGCCGTACACCTTCAGTCCTTTCCACATGGACCCGGGTGATAGGACAGTATGCGGGTGAACCGTACTCCAGCATTGGTCGCATTATCCAGACGAAGAGAGGAGGGGCAATCACTTCGAACTAAGTGCTGAAGGTGCGTTTCGTACTGAAGGCATGAGAAGACGGTGTTCGTAAAGCGTCATCGCATTTTCCATGCACTTTAGGTCGTATCGTGTTCATATCGCATGGCGTCGAGCCTTTCCGACTATTAAACTCAGAAAACTTGCTGGGGAGGTCTTTTGCCTTGTGTAAAAACAGGATAGTGTTCCCAATGTCGCACCCGTGAGAGGTTATATTTTAAGTTGACCTTTGTGAGGTCGGGCAGTAATCGTATTTGAGGTGTATTACTGATATTTGACTTTGCGCTTTTGCACGTCGGCTGATAGGAAGCTCACGTGATGAAGTTCCGTTTAAGGTGGTCATTAAGGAAGTCGTTGTTTCTGGGACAGGATGTCGTGCATCGCAGCTTAGCGACTCAAAAGAAAGGTTTGCTGCTGTATTTGATAAGCCTCAGTGACTTCGCTCGGCCTGCATGGACTAGGGTGTGATTTTCTTCAGGCGACATCCTTCGATGGAAGGTTGCTAGTACGCTTGCGACGGTTCTCGAGTGATTCTTCCGCCATGTGTTTGCACTGAAGCACCACTTTCAACACTTTGAGGCCACCTGCGTTCAACTCCGACGGTCGGGGGCAAGCAAATCGGTCACTTTGGCTGCTCCAACGTTCCCGCGCGTAACGAAATTAGGATTCCACAAAAATTTGATAGCTTATGGGCAATGAGCAGAGTGATTGAAGATGTGAAAGGTTGTTTAACAGCATATTTGCTCCTTCTTAGCCGTTTATGGTCACATTCACTTTGCGCCTCTGCGAGCGCTCAAAAACTCGCGCAGAGAAGACAGCTGGCCGTCGTATTGCGCGGACAGGATAGTAGATCAACAGTTCATCGTGGCATGGGTAAGGCGTAATTGCGGTTCACACCCTCACCAAGTACGGGACCTGTTAAGCACTAACTTGTTTGCGGTGGGAAGTCATTGGAGCTGTATGTTCACCCTTCATGGATGTATGAAGCACATTTTCGCTTTGATTTCACTCGCTTATTGTATCACCGTTGCTTGAAAAACAACCGGCGCTTTCCGTGGAACATGCACTGAGACTGTCGCCTTAGTAGCCGCATTAAAGCTTTAGTGCGCAGGTTGGTACATAGCCAATCGCTATTTCTTAATACCAGGAAGCTTCGTACGCTGCGGTCGTCGGATCAGTGACTTCGCCTACTGCTCCTGTTTACATACGAGTTATCCGTTTGGCCGTACCAAATGGTGACGTACTGACTCATTGCGCCACTCGTTTTTCGCCTGTTTGCCCGCGCGCGCAATGTGCCCCTCGCATGCAAATACTTACTCGGACAATCCCCCAGAGGAGTTGTATAGGTGGCGGAGCGGAGGGGACCGTCCGCCTCGAGAGGCAATTTTAGTACGGATGGTTGTTTAATACCAAGTGTAAATTCACCAAAATTACTTTCATGACTGAAGTGGTAAAAGCGAAGGATGATAATCATCTTATTGCCGAATAAGGAATTAGTACTGCGAACATTGATATCCGGACTACAGAAAACGATATTGACAGTAGGCATGCAGCGGGAAATTTTTTTAATGTTGATGCAGAAGAGGTACGCTAAAGTGAAAGGATTGGAAATGCAACCACATTTTTGTACGATCACAATCAAATCAACCGATTAGATGGATGCTCGTCAGTGGGTTGTTAAGATTGTTCATGAACTACTTACTGTGCTTGTCCGACTCGGATCTAAACTCTTCCAGCATATCTATCAGGAATTTGCTATTTGGTGCTCCCTGGAACGAATGCAAATCTGAGGCTAAGGATCTAACAAATAACTGGTGATTTTTGGATTTGCGAAACGGTGAGCAAAAATTACGACACCCATACTGCATCCTACTTCAACAGAGGCCCTGTGTGATTTCCGCAGCAGGATGTCTTCAACAAGATAGTCCAGTTTTTCGACTGGTGAACGCGAAATCCAAAAGCATGTGAACACGAATCTAGCAAATCGCGTGCTCATTCCTCCACCGCAAAGTGTTAACAATCCGACAAGTTGAAGGAGGGGAATTTGACCACATGCAGCAAGTTGTTGTAGAAAATCAGTGGCGTGAAATTTCGCTGAAATAGTTGATATCGTCAGGGTTCTCACCAAACAAAGTATGCCACTGTGTGTTCACCGAGAAGACATCCAACAAGACAAAGGAGGCCAAAAATAGACTGAATTTTTCAGCATTTGTGTATTCCTCGACCAAGTGTGAGGCTGTTCTTCGTAAACATTGGTGGCTGTTCAACTGTGAAGGAAAATCAACACCTCTTTTGTCGAATCACCTTCAAACTAGATTGGTGCGCAATTCGGTACCATCAGCTGGGAGAGCAAATCTTAGCTCAGGTCAGTGAAAGCAATTATGTTTCCCAGCTGTTCAATAGCACGCTCGACGTGTTTCAGAAAAATCAGATGAGTGAAAATGGAGTGAGGGGAGAGGAATGGTTTCTCAGCTTCATTGAGACCAACAGCAAAAGAGCAGAGGAAGTTTCTGCACTGGTTTAGCGAAAATCGGAGAAGGATGAAATTCACATGGGTGATTGTGGTTGCCAAGCATTTGACAACGCTACTGTTCTGGTGCGCTAACGTATGGATGTCCAGAGACGTATCTGCGAAATTTAGCTCAAAGTCTACATCCGTGTCATGCACAAACCATTCTGTGTTTATGTAGCTTCCGCGACGGTTAATTCTGTTACATTGTTTGTACGATGGACCGGCTATTATCATTCTTTGTTCATCTAAATGTTACTTGAATGCCTTGGCTCAAGTCATCGGTGTATCGGATGACTGTAAAATATATGTGGAGTAGTCGAGAAGGTGCTGTAATAATGGTTGTGAAGAAATACTCGGAACTCGTCACTTCACTGACACATCACAGAATAAAGAGGAAATGCAATCAAAAGATCAGCTGCATCTAATTCTCATCTCGGTACAGTCGTTTCCCGTTATCTTGTACCTTAGCATTCAGGGATCTGCTCACATAGAATTCAAGAATGCACAGGTATGTCTAAAGTAATGGGTTAGATCTGCAAAATTGTGGAAATCTTACAGCGTTAAGTGTTGCCTTCTTCAGAATAGAGGGGAACATGGTTCACATTGCAACGGATGAATACGAAAAATACTACGCTAATTAAGGGGTAAACATAAGTGTCGAATCGCCCAAAAGAAACGAATCGACGGCGAATCATTGTTGCATATATCGCTAGAATTTTATGCAGGCTTGAAAGGGGAATTGCTCTCTTTCATAGACGTTTTGATTAGTGAAACGCCATAGCTTTTAGAAAATTCATGATCTTGCGAACAAATATGATTCTCCTACACCGTTACATCTGCTTGATAATAAGTATGTTTGTCCGCTTAGTAAATTCAACGAAGATATAGAAAAACGGAATCTTTGCGGGAAAAAGATTGCGGTATTTTGTGAAAGCTTCATTAAAAGACAAAATTAATGGACCTTCTGAGCTTTTGAGTCTCATACCGAACTATCACTTGGGGAATTTGCTGCACATATTTCCTACGAGAACTATTAGCATAACCAGCTATGAGAACGCATTCTCTAAAAGTAAGCTCATAACGAACTACCTTCAATCGTCATTGAAGCAGACAAGGCTCACGGAGTCGTAGTTCACAACATAGAGAGCGAACGTGACTATGGAGAGTATTATCAATGCGCGAAAAGTGTATCTGTAGATCTTGTTCACGAGTACTGTAACAATAATAATTCCTGAATTTATGGTAGCACTGTCTAATTGGATCTTTGCTTGTTGTTAGATGAAAAAAAGTCTTTAAGAGCTGTCGGAAGTTATGAGGGTTTACGGATTTAAAACCGCCAGATGTGGTGGCAATTTTACATCCGCCCCGGGTGGCAAGAATAGTTGCTACGTCACTGCAAGCACCTGGTAACTTTAGGTGTAATAACACCGGGTACCGGCTGTGATGGAATGTGAAACAATTAACAGCTCTTTTCGCCAACAGGATTTGTTAAAGGGATAACGTGTTGCAGGTTCCAACTTCTTGTCCTACATTGTCTCAACTTCATCCTACTACGCATCTGCTAACCCAACGCTTCACTAGCCTCACCCGCGTCTTGCCATCCGTCATCGCCCTGGGGATGAATTGCTCTCGAGCATTTGCGGTCGGCACCCATTCGTGCCCCCTCCATGATTAGATTTCCCTCTCTATCTAAATCCGACCTCTTATTGGCTGACAGTGCATAATCAATGAAACGGCTACGCGACAGCGAGCCCAAAAGCAACCACTGACGCGTGGACGGGAGAACTTGTAAGAATATCAGGTGAAGTCGAACTTCTTATGGCTGAAGTTGAATGCCTTATGGTTTGGGAAATGGTGTAGATACACATTGATTCTGGTCGGGGATTTCCTCGAATTGACAGTGTCCAGGTTGTTAACGAAAGCTGTTTACCATCATTTCTGTTACAAGATTATAGGTGAGATGGGGTTGTGTGTGATGTGCTTTTGTGAATATCCACGGTTTTTTAACGGTACTACTATCGCACGTTCATATTCCTTTTCCATAGGTCCACGTATTCCAGACCTCTCATTTCGGTCGATTCTTTTTCGTTTGTTCAGGTGTGGTATTGGCGAAAGATTCAGGCTTTGTGAAGGCTCTCTATCCATCTCATCGCTTCGGTCTCGGTGGCCCTGTCGGCTCTGGTCAACAGTGGATCTCTTGGGTACACCTGGAGGATCTCATCCGGGTTATGAACATGTTACTGACTCGCGAACATCCTATTCCCAGTGGTCCCATCAATCTCACGGCTCCATATCCTTGCAGGCAGTTTGCTTTGTCCAAGGCATTTAGCGAGGCAATCGATGCCCCGAAACTACCGTACGGTCCTCTCACAACTCCTGCGTTTGTCGGTCGTTTGATGCTCGGAGGTGATCGGGCCACACTTTTGCTGGAAGGACAACGTGTCATCCCGAAAAAATTGCTAGACTCTGGCTTTCAGTTTAAGTACTCCCGTCTGGAAGATGCACTGGAATCCTTGTTTAAGAGAAGACCAAGTGCAGTGCCGATAGACTGAATAAGTAGCAATTTGAAACCTGAACATTTTCGTCAGTGTCTGCATATCACTTTTCCTTTTTGTAGAGAAAACTCTTTGTAATTTAATGGAACTTTCTTAGCTAGTGTGCAGGACAATCTAAATATAGTTACTGTCAAAAATAAACTGCTATCCGTTTTCCAATGTGGCTCTTCCAAACACCTGCATTTTATCTCCAACACAGTCTGTAACGATCGAAACAGAATCAGTAAGGCGAACAGATGTTTCCCTAGTCTCGCATTCATCGCATCTGCACTGAACAGTTGGCGTTGATAATCCTTGATACACCCAATGCGCAGTTCAATTTTGTCAAGCAGCCATGATCAGCATATTGAAGTGCAGTGAATCCAGCTGCAACGATTCAGTTTGCCGGAATATTAATAATTGACGATAATAAGGGAAATAATAGAGAATGCAAACATAAAGCGAGCGAAATTTTACAAAATTTGTTAAAATTTAATCCTGTTTGACTGGTAACAGCTAACCGCAAGAAATCGAGCATGAGATTTTCATTAACTCAACGGTTGCTCGTGTCAGTTAGGGTCTCTATCTACCATTGTGATCCATCCACGGAGATAGCATGTACCGATCTGGTCAACTTTCTCGTCACTTTATGACACATCATCTGCTGACCACTTCTCGCTTCCGCCCAACTAGGTCGCGCGACAGCATATGATGCGCATTGAGGAGGGGGATCAACTGGTGTATGGAGAACATGACTAACGTAAGCGGCTCTATTTTGATGGGCAGTTCAATGGGGAACGAGAGGGTTTCTAAATATGAATCGGTAGGCATTTGCTCACCAGATGTAAGCAATACTCAGGGGGAACTGCTGATTAAAGACAGCCACTGGCCTAATGTCTTCTGTGGGAACTGGCCATACAGTAAGACACGGCTAATGGCAGCAATGTGCACCCTACTTTTGTTTGATTGGCTAATATTCCACCTTCTTCCTAGATGGCTTTATCCCTGAAAAGCAGCACGAGCTTTGCTGATACGCAAAGTAACTCCCTGTCGACCGACCTAAAGAGGCTTGTCCTATTCCACAAACACTGCCTTCGCAGCCTAGCTCATGTCTAGTAGGAACACCACCTGAGCAATGAGCGTGCTCGGCGTTGCGTATTTGGCGCAGAAAGAGCGAATGGACCGCTCAGCACCATTATGTCACGCACAAGGCTTCGGTGCCTGGGCCACATGTTGCGCATGCCAGCATACTGACTCCTGCAAAATGCGTTGTATTCGCGCCGGAAGTGTGGATGGAAGAAAAGAAGGGGGGAGGCCAAGCGGTAACCTGGTCAAGAGGTATGAAGACCGTCACTTCGAACTTCACGCCGGTTGATGTTTCCAGACCGCCTGACTGGGCTCCAAAGGACCATGAACTCGTTTGGTTGGATGCACTATCATATATGTCGACGAGCTGACCTCAATGGCATTAGTGTGGTGAGTTTCGTTGTTCCTCGACACTCCGCTTATCTCTCCTCTCCAACCACGTTCTCACACGTGATGCTTACTATGACTGCATCATATTACGTTTTGATTTTATTTCGTTTTAATAATGTTTTGTGTCCCCTTTTTCACCTATATTATTATTTTTGTATTGTGGCACATTAACTGTAGTATGTTTATTACCTTCAGGTAACGTGTATTATTGGTGATGAAAGCAACTTTCTCTGTGTTGTGACTGCCAGAAGCGACAGCTACCAATGTGGATTAACCGATTCACCATTTCCATCTGCTGTGCACTGATAGCTAGAACCGATGGCGTATCGACCCATTTCTGCACCAGCATCTCGCACTTTGTGCCGAAACACGCGGCTTGACGAGTCAGCCTATTCATTATCGCTTGCATGGCGACCGAAAGCCATCGTCATCGAGGGGTTCAACAAATAGCCGGTCATTCATACATGTCCGAATCAGTTCTGAAACAGTTATGGCTTTCCTGCCGTCCAGATCCTTTGAGTATGACGCTCAATATACCCACAAAAAACGCTGAGAGAATTAGCCACAGCAGCAGAAGGTACTGAATTCGAATGGTATCCCCAACAATCGAGATCTTACAGTAGCCTCTTTGCTACTTTCTCAAGCGGCCATAGGGTATCTGGAAATGCTTCTAACCAACACGACCTTAGTGACGATGAGATTGCTACACTTCGTCGTCAGCTAGCGGCGATGCAAACACCGAGCCATGAAGTGACAAGAGCGAGTTCGGCCCAAGAGCTAACTGCCATCCGTCGTAGTTCGTACGAACCTAAATCTCTGCCATACAGGAGCAGATCTCCGCGCAAACGTAGCCTTTATTCACCCAGCAACCGTACCTCAAGCCCTAATTCAGCCATCGATGTATGTTGGTATCATCGTCAGTATGGTGACAACGCTGGCGGAAGAGCTTATGGTGCGCTGAGGCTGGTGGTGACTAGATCCTGACCGACGGTCTACCCATTGCTGCTACTGTTGTCCCATTGGCCCATGTCCTGGACACCTCCTGGCGACCGCTGGGTGGGAGTTGGGTTACGCCCTTCTCTCTGCTAAGATCCAGGACACCAATCCACTTTAGTCAGTGAACTGACCATGTGCTAGACCCGCTGCCTTTCGGGTGTAGTCAATCGAAGGCTTTGGCTGAGGACCCGAGTCGTTCTCCTGTCAGGTGTGGGCGCCGTGCCAGTATCATGGTCCATCGTCTTCGGAGGTTAGGAAGTGGTTGATGACCCTCTTTCAGTAAAACCTAGCGAAGGAAACAAGGTGTATAAGGGTTATAAGCTCACAGATCGATTGGCGTAGAGCACGTGCACCACGCATTATCTCTGACGGTGGGATGACACCTCCGGGTGTTCAATAGTTTGCTACTGCCCGCATCAAGCCAGGCAGCCCCTGGTCAAATTGGTGCAAACCCGCCAAAACCCACCTGCGTCTGGCCGTGGTCGCAGGTGCGTATCCCACTACGGTCGCAAAACATATATGAATCGTTTCATTACCTCAAAGGCTGCGTGTGACGGCCGTCAAGCAGATCCCAATCTGTCTCTGCAATCACATTCCCGAGCTGGATCTGCTCCCCACTGCCTTGTGGGTTAGGCTATTGAGTCAGAGGCTCCGGGCGGAGTCCCTCAAGCAAACCTCCGAAGCACAACGACCACCTCGCGTGTGATTGCCCACCAATGCAATCGTATGCCTGCGCGCAAAGCACTCAACAGCCAAGTGGTTAGCCAAGCTTTTAGAGCCAGTGAGAAAAGTTTTATCCATGTCTAGTCTACGTGATACATTCAGCCCTTTAGACAGTATAAAACATCTTAACCTAACCGGAAGAAAGATGTTTTCGTTAGACGTTGTGTCGATCTTCACGAATGTTCCTTTGGTAGAAACAATAAACTATTTGTGCGACACCATTCGAGCACATCAGTTGAACGTCGGCCTGTCGAACAATCGGTTGAAACAGGTACTCATGCTGTGTACTAGTAACATACAATTTCAGTTTAATGGGGTAATATACAGACAAAAAGACGGAGTAGCAATGGGATCACCGATAGGACCGCTGCTGGCAGATGTATTCATGAGCGAACTAGAAAAAACTACCTCAGCAGAGTCATTAGCGTATTACCTTATTATGGCCGATATGTGGATGATATATTTTGTGTAACAGACAGTCAATGCTGCACAGAGCAAATTTTATCCCTTTTTATTTCAGCGCACGACAACGCTAAGTTTGCCTTGGAATCAGAACGTCGTGGTGCGATGTCTTTCCTAGACGTCCAAATTAGCAGAAGATCAGATGGGTCGATCCAACCCAGGGTGTACAGAAAAGCCACGTGGAATGGACAATGCATACATTTTGCCAGCTTTGTCCCACTAAGTCAGAAGCGCAACTTGATTAGGTGTTTAAGCGAAAGGGCAAGAAGGATATGTAGTGAGGACACACTCGGACGAGCTGAATTTCTTAGCTGGCCTTTTTGAGAGAAACGGCTATCCCGAAAAGTTTGTTCGGAGAAATATGGAGTGCCGAGAATCGAGGGCTAAAACCGATTCGGTTGAAAAGAAATTGGTTTATCTGTCGTTGCCGTTCAAAGGGAATGGAATAGCGCAGGCAACGTCTAGAAGGCTATCAGACGCCATAAACCGTACGTACTACGCGGCAAGCCTACGACTAAGATTTACTACAACACCAATCGTAAGGCTTCATCTCAAGGACAGACTTCCTCGGTCAAGTACTTCTTTCTGTGTATACTCATTTACTTGTTTATGTCGAGCAAGTTATATCGGAAGAACAACCAGGAAACTGTCTGAGAGAATCCGTGAGCATTGCTCGAGGTGGCTATCTACAGGTGGAACTAAAACATTGACAAGCGCCGTGTTAACACGTCTAGTTGATTTTAACCACCGGATCGATATGCTCCAAAGTTTTCAGCCAATTTACCGCGTATCTGGATGCTTCAAACGAACGGTAAGATGTCGCCTATTAGCAATAGCCGAAGCGATCGCCATCCGCCTCCAGAACCCAGACCTATGTGCACAAAACAATTCGTTCAAATTCTCTCTCTTCCCTGGCCTCCTATTACAGTAACCCCTGCTGAGAAACATACAGCTGACATGCCATTGATCGTTTGTGAACCAAGCACGTAACCTTTGATTTTACCCTTTGAGTTTTCCTCCCGTCTGATGTTTTAACTCATTTTACTCTTATTAGTTGTGATGTACCAGCCTGATGAGATCCACCGAAAACGAGCTTGTTCGCTGACCCTTGTTCTGATGCTTCGTATCTGACTCTTGTTATGCGATGTAACATGTGTTTGCAGTTAGGAGCTGCTAGCCTCTTGTGACATAAGCTTTCTTTCATGTCGGTCTTGAAAGTCCTTGAGAAATTTATCAATTTGTATGATCGCACAAATATCATTCGTTTTCTTAAACCTAAACCACAAGCGTTTTAGACGCACCGCAACAGCTTTAGGAATGGGGTTTTGAGGACAAGGCAATGGCTGCTTTCTATATTGTGGTGGTACAAGCAGATCAATGCAATAGGTCAGATGTTGATAGAACTCATCAGCGGCGATATCTTGACAGTCTATAATGAAAAACCAATCTCAGTCAAAGGATTTAATAGTCAGAAACTGTTCCAGTCCAATTTGCGATATGGTCGATATTGGTTCG